GTAGTACTGTAGTAGTAGTGGTAGTAGTAGTAGTAGTAGTAGTAGCAGCAGTAGTAGTAGTAGTAGTAGTAGTAGCAGCAGTCAAAAGGATCCAAAATCACGACAAAATTTGCCGTTTAGCACAATCGCAAAATCGCTCTTACTTTGGCAATTTGGGAGGCCCCAAAGGTCAAACGCGCGTGTGGCACGCGGCGTCGGTTTAGGGTTTAGGGTTTTAGGGGTTAGGGTTTTAAGTTTTACGCAAATGGTGCAAGTGAAATGGTGCACGTGGTGCCAGAGGTAAGCATCTCCCGACCACCTAAAATCTCCCCGGGCAAGATGACCAAGACGATCAAGATTGCATGTAATCTGCCGAATCTCGACTCCCCTTATCGTGTTCTCCCCGACCAAAACGACCGAGATGACATGTCATCTTGCCACCTTTATGACGGTCCCCTGAACACTCCACTACCACTCCTACTCCTACTCCTACTACTACTACTGCTGCTACCACTACTACTACTACTACAACCAATTGTACTACTACGACTACTATTATTCGCACTATGACGACGACGACCACTGTTGCTGTGCCTGCTACTGCTTATGCACTACTACCACTACGACTGTTTCTACTGCTGCTACTACTACTACTACTACTACTACTACTACTGCTGCTGCTGCTGCTACTACTACTACTACTACCGCTACTGCTACTGCTATTGTACTGCTGCTACTACTGCTACCACTACTACTTCTACTCCTGCTGCTGCTGCTGCTGTTTGTGGAGTCTGTCTCAGAAACCAGAAACGATACTAAGCCTTTCCATACTGCAGAACAGGTGTGCCTCAATTTCATGTGAATGTCACTTCAAGCCGTGAAGTATTCTTAAGTCTGAATCATGATGCTCAAGGCCATGGTCTTGCATTCAGCATTTCAACCTTCAGAACGGCGTCGTTTCCTGCTTCAATCTGCATGCGGTCAGGGCAATGCTTGTGTGCTGAACCCATCGGCCTGCGACGTGATGTCACGGACATACATGGCAAGGCGCCCCGGCTGTACCTGAGCACAGCTTGTGGAAGCCGGAGTTACATGTGCGGAAACAGAACTCAGCCTATGCGCTGCATCAGTTTTTCACATCTTGTTGGCGAATAGATTCCTGCACTGGTCTGCCACATGAAAAGGAGATCCTTTAATTAGGTTGGTGTGCATTGAAGCTTAAACAGCTGCGCAGCTTCCCGCTCTTCGGGTTGATCTCCCTGGCCATCCTCTCAAACTTGGGCGCCGCATTCTGCTTGCCTGCAGCCTCAGAGTCCAAGGCTTTGTGAATTGAAGTGCCATGCCACTAGGACAGTGAGGACCAAGCGTGTCCAAGGTTCTCTTACTCAAAAGCTCTGGCAGATGCCTCACTCCGTGCATGGACGGGGACGCTCACCCTTTTGGGTCCGGCATTTGCGTCGGGCGCCCTGGAGCTTAGGAAACCATGGCTTGGTCTTTTTTGCCGGGAGTGTCCGCCGCCGCCGCCGCCTCCACCTCCTCCTCCTCCTTCTCCTTCTCCGCTTCCGCAACATCGTCCTCCCAACATCGCGACGGCAAATTCGTAAAGCATCTAGGATCGCGCTGTGAATAACACAAGGGTCAATAGGGATTCAGAAGGAAAATTAACAGCACTCACAGTCATCTTCATTAATCCACGACGAGTGCTTCCGAGCCTTCACTACCGTCACCAGCACGAGAACCATCACGATGCTGCGGCACAGCACAACCGCCGCAACCACAGCCACAATCGTTGCCACCACAACTGCCTGCTCGCGAATGCGGCAGTGCGCAAAAATCGCAGCAACCGTGCCGTAAAGACTATGCAGCCGGGTGCGGCTGTACGGAGAAACGAAAACGAACGAGTGTCTTGTCTGAGTGCCGCCCCTTCTCGCGACTGTTAGTTTGAGTATTCGTGTGTTGCTGATCGCTACTCCGACTATCCTTTTGCTGACGGCTTTTTTGTGAGAAACATATTGACATTCATCTATACTAGTGAGGGAGGTGGAAGACGGGCACAGGAGCAGTGCAGTGACTGGAGTGGCAGCGGTTGTGTCCTATCGCTAGTTGCGGCGGTGGCGACCTGGTATTGGCGTGTTGGCAGGGAAGACTTGGAGACCACGGAGGTCGTCGTCGTCGTCGTCCGTTTTGTCGTGTTCGTCGGCCTCACATCAGGGCAAGTCCGACAGCCTGAAAATGAACGTTCCGAGAGTTCATCTGTACTTCGAGAGATCCACACGGGAAATGTCAGGGTACCCACAAGCAACGCTGCAGCTGGCAGAACCTCCTCGCTGAGGACAGGTGGCATTGTCGCCTGGGCACTCTTGATGCCAGATCTGGGAGAGATCCCAA